CTGTTCTGGCTTGAGGCAAGCGAAATCTGTTCTGCTTGATCCGTAGAGACTTCAACAGATCCAGTACCCATGGATGATTCAAAGCAGGCCTAAGTGTCCGAATCAAAGCAGCTTCCGTGGCGAGCAATGACAGAGTATCAGAGTCCTGATACAGGGCCAACACAATACCTTGATAGAAATCACGTCGGCGATGAAACACTTTGAGTGCGGGCTCGAAATGGGATAATCGTTTCCTAACCAACTGAATGAACTTACGACGTCTGGAGGCTTCTCGTCTTGGAACGGTTGTCCTGGTGGCTCCAACATACAGAGTCGCCGTGGTCGCCGGTCGGTTCACCGACACCCGAAGGTAAACCATATGTGAAGTTTGATGCCAGGACCATGGATAGTGTTTGGGTACACGAAACTGCACCAGAAGATCACGAATGCGCACGAAAATGCCAGTGGAAAAGCAAGGCAAAGCGTTCGAAAATAATGCACACGAAAAAATGTGGGAACGAACCCACATGAATCTGTCGACCACCTTGTGGGGCATGAGAATGTAAAGGATTGGGAGAATCAACGAAAACCATCGGAGAAAAGTGACAACAAATCGCTGTCGCTGGGTCCTTGTCTTGCTCGAAGCCGCATGTAGTCACTGGTTTGCCAGCAAATGGGCTCCCGCGATCAAGCGAGTGAGGCACTTCTCATTCAACTTAGAAGCTAGAGAGACTGAGAGACCCCATTCCACTGCGATTTTATCAACTGGCTTCCTGTTACCATCGTCAAGCTTGGCACAAGCAGCAACAAACTCGGAAACTGCAGTGTCGATCACCTTATTCTTGCCCTTTCCGATAGCAGTGGATGCTAGCCAGTTGTTGACACTTTTAAGATTATTGGCCTCCAAGCTGCAATTCTCAAGGTAGAGAGTACTGTCACGATCCGGGAGATACTGCGAGTATGTGTCCTGAGCATCGAGGGGGCCTTTGTCCTGATTCTCCTCGTCTTCGTCGAAAGGGTCTTCGGCAGGTGATCTGAACATGGCGGTTTCTTCGCCATCACCCCCACCAGCAAGGTCCTCTTCGCCGAAGTCCATGGGACTCCTGGGCTCCGTCTTCTTGGATCCTGAAGCAGGTGTGCCCCTGCGGCGAGGAAGAGCCGGTTGTGCTGAACGAGGTGGCTTACCCTTCAAACGAGCATTCTCGGTCTCAAGAGCATGAAGTCGCTGCAACAAAGTCTGATTGGTCTGAACTGGTGCATGCTTACGAAAGTCCTTCACCAGGTCCTCGGCCAACTTCTGGATTGTCTTGTAGCGAGCCGTCCAGTCTTGAAGCTCCGACGATGGAAACAACTTCTTCTGAGTAGCATTCAGAATGGTAACGAAATCAGTGCCCTCCTGTTCTGCTTGTTCGGAGCGAAGTGCCCTCATTAAGACCCCGGCAAACACTCCCTCCTGTTTGGATCGAAAGTTCTCCCAATGCACGGCACGACCATGAGCAATCTGTCGTAGAGCCCAATTAGAAGTGCCCCCCGAGACCACCCGATGTAACGGCACCTCAAAGATCTCCATGCCTGAAATGTCAAGTTCTCGAGTGAGACGATTGGAGGTCACACGTCTCGGTAACGTCAAACCATACACCTTATTCGAGTCCCACTCTTGCGAAGTCGACCTCCATGACCCCGGAAGGTTCGCACTTCGTCGCTCAACTCTTGGGGAACGAGTGCGAGATCTGTGCCGAGTGGTACGACCCGAAGAAGAGAACTCAGGCTGTCTGCGATGCGAGCGCGGTGGGCTTCGAGATCGCGAGTCACGACGACGATGCGACATGGCTCAAGCGCACTGCAGGAAGACTTGAAAGGCCGAAACTGTGCAAACATGTATGTTGAAAAATGACAATGCAAATGCAAGCAGTCCTGCCCGGTGAACGAAATGTGCAAGACTCACACGTCCTGGTTTGTTTTCTTAGTCCTCTGCGAGATGACGTCAGTCGCCTGCACCACGCTGGATCTGCTGAGCATGTGTCAGAGGAACCTGAAAAAGCGGGCGACCGGAGGAATCTCTCAAAGGGGTGAACTGCTTGGCAACTGCCACTGTGAAACCTGCCACCGTGCTCCTTCCGCTGTGAATCACATATTTATGGTCCCGTTTGAAGTGAACGACCCCATGTATGAGGCACTGTTGCTGGGCGTCTTCTCCACCGCCCGACTTCAAAACGAAATGCTGGCCAGGAACACTAGCATACCCATGAGTGATAATGGGGCAAGCCCATTTTGCAGAGTTCGTAACCCTATCAAGAATCTGCACAAACGACATGTCATCGCTCCACGGAGTTGCCTGCGAATAGTGGCCTACGGCCTCCGGGCCGTCCGCCAGTGTGGCGGGTGCCAAAAACCGAGATTGGATTATCCCTTGCACGCCTGCAATGTCCGAGCCGTGTGCAAAATAATATAAGTTGCGTAGTTCAGCAGAAGAATCATCGTGTGGTACAAACCGCTCAGTCAAATCGAAACTCCAGTAAACAGTCTGCTTGGTGGCGTGGTTGTGCTTGGCGGTGGTCTGTTGTCTGCCTGCTGGCTTCGCCTAAGGGTACGCCCATCGGAGAGTGGTCCATGTGGTGTGCCTGTACCGCCTGTGCCTGTATGTGAGGAGGAGCTTGCCGTGGCTGAGGTGGTTTCCTGCTGTGGTTGGTGGTTCTGCGTGGCATTTGGCGCTGCATCGCCTGAGGAGCTTGCCGTGGCTGAGGTTTCCTGCTGTGGTTGGTGGTACTGTGGTTGGTATGTCTGTGGTGACCCCTGTGTGGGTCTGCTATTCGTTGTGTGGCTGGCTGTCGAGGAGCTTGCCGTGGCTGTTGGGGTTTCCTGTTGTGGTTGGTGGTTCTGGCTGTGGCTGTGGCTGCTTTGTGGTGGTGCAGGTCCAGTGTCTGTTGCGGCGGTGTTCGTGGCGCTGGCGGGGCTTTGGTGGTCAAGTGGTGTGGCTGTCGCCCCGCCTTGGGTGTAGCAGCTGCTTTGGGGTGGGTCGCCGTCAGCTTGTGGTTGGTCGGTCGCCCCGCTTGGTGCTTGACAGGCTTCGGGGTCTGCGGTGTGCTCCGACCGTGCTTCATCGGAGGCTGCAGTGGGTTGGGTAGTGTCCGTCCCAGAATCGCTGCACCCCGCCGCTTCGTTGAGGTGGACGTCTAGGATCCATTCCCCATCCTGCCACATGAAGGTAAGGATGTCTCCTTCACAAAGGATGGCTGCGTTGAACTCGTAGCTGCCTGGGGGCGGTGCTGCCACCACTTCTGCTATGTAGGTTTGCAGGTTGGGTCTGGTGAGGGACAGGACCGTCCCTGTGGAGATGGGGGGCGCGAGTTCGGAGCGTATGCCTGGTGGTATGGTGCGGAGGGGGTTGGGGTCCGCTCGGAGTGCTGCCAGCTCATGCTCTTCTTTTCGCAGTGGGTGGCTTTCTATCTGTACGAGCCACCACGGTGGGGAAGTGGGGGTGCCTGCTTCCTGTGCCAGGATACGCCCCCGAGCCCATTTGTTAGTGGGGATGGTGGGTCGGTTGATGGATGGCTGGCTGCGGCTTGTGGCTGTGTGCTGTAGGCGATCCTGGGCCGCGGCCATGGCTGAGGGTGACAGTGGAGGGTTGCGTGTGAGGGGTGCGTGGAGCTGCTCGCTGGTTCATGTGGCGCCGTGTCTGTGGAGCTAGCTGCGGGCTGGTCCCAGGGTGCAGGGTCCACTTCGGCGTCCGTGGTTGGTGGAGGTGGTGGTGGTGGCTTGGGTTGCGCCGGGCTGTTTAACTGGTGGCGGTTTTGCCACTGGCGTCGCCTTGGGATGCTGGGTCGTGTGAGTTGGGGCGGTGGCTGTTGTGGCTCCGAGTCTGCCGTCGGCTGGTTGTGCCGCTCCAGCTGCTTTAGGGGTGTTGTATCGGAGGGGTTGCAGGTGTCTATTGTGCAGGTTCGCTTAATTTGGGTGAGCTGTCTGCGGACGTGGTGGAGGATGTGCTTGGTGTGGCTGGTATCGGGCTCCTTGGCCAGTGCCGCCCCGTGGCCACAGGCCCAGTCGTTGTAGTCTGTGGTTGGTTGTGGTTGTGCTGGCACTTGGTGTGTTGTAGGGCCGGCTGACGACTGTCCTGGTTCAGGTAGGGGGTTGGTTGAGGCCGGTGGGCTGCTGTCGTCGTCGGGGTACCATCCGCCTCCAGACCAGACGTCGTGGGCAGCCACATAGGGGGCTGGGTAGTAGGCCTGCCAAAGGTTGCGCCGCGGCTGCCCGCCCGGCAAGGTGGCGCTCGCAGTGGTTTGCGTTTGCTGTGGAGTGGTAGGTGGCGGGTCGCTGTTGGCCGTGGGTTGTCCGGCTGCCGCGTCTGCGATTGGGTGTTGTGCGGTGTCTTCGACTGTGCTTGGAGTCGCTTGCTGTGTGTTCTGGGCCCCAATGGTGCCCATGCGTGTTGCCCTGCTGGGTAGGTCATCTGTGTCGGTGGCCACGTCCTTAGTGGGTGCCCCGGGGTTGGGTCCTGCCGTGCCGCCCCACCACAAGGCTTTGGCCCAGTAAGGCCAGGATGCTGGTAGGGAGGAGTTTCCGCCCCGTCATGTCGTACTACTGTCGTGTTGTAGCTATTCAGTCGAGGCTGGGGCCACGGCGATGCATATGCATGACTGAGCTCACCGGCAAGACGACTTCACTGTTGCGGTCTGGTCCTGTGCGTCTCATGGTTCACTGTTGTCAGTTGGGGAGAAGGTTGCGGTGGGTATTGGGGCCGTCGGGTTCTGCATCGTCTTCTAGAGGCTCAGGTTGGCTTTGAACAGGTAGTACGAAAGGAAGTTGGTCAGGAGTTCGAGGGTGATACATCAGCTCGGTTAGGTAGTACTGGTAAAGCTTGTGGTCAAACTGAAACTGGAGCTCATTGGCTTCGTCATGTAGTTCTGAATCGGTATCTCGTGCGGCTTGGTCAGGATCAAGTTTATGGACACTGCAGGTTGTGGGGTGTTGTAAGTGCAGTAGGGCTCGAGGTCGTTGTCACTCAGGCAGGCAGATTGCGGGCTTCAACTTTTGGCGCTGGCGGACGAGCTCTGGCTGTCACTGGCACTCGCCCCGGCAGGGATTCCGGGGGTCATTCGCCCGCTCGCCACGCTGTCCGTGAGTGCTGCTGTGGGTTTGGGCTGTGACTTCGGTTTGAAGCTGCGGATCTGAGTTAAGTTGGCGATGGCAGGTTGCCTTCCGCTGGCCCAGGGAAGATCAAACTCTTCCACAAAGCTGTCCTGGAGGGCTTGCCACTGGTCGCGGTCTTGTGCTAGGTCCACCCAGTCGTATCCCCCGATGCGGGAGATGCTCCGCTCTATGTCGACAGAGCTGTTGAATCGGCCGCCATGTTTGCACCCCGCTGGTTCGGCAACTTCTTTCCACCACTTCAAGTTGCGCCAAAGGAGCAGGTCTTTGGTGGGCCCCGGGTGTCTAGCAGCATGTCCATGTAGCTTCCACATTTGCCGAAGTGCATAGGTAGACCATCGCTCCTGCCTGCTGTTGAAGAGCGCCACCCTTGCCATTCTCATCGTGCGCACTTGCCACTCCGCCCATGATTCTGTAGCGCCCCGCTTGGTGCCAATCATGGCGCGCACACATCCGAGTTGGCATGCGTTGGCCGCACGAAGGAGGGCGGCGTTATTGGGCCAGGTAGCGCAGCCCCAAGTCGCAGAGTTTCTGACCAAGGTGGTCAGCATTTTCATGCGGTTCTCGAGTGGGGTCCTCGCACAGAGCAGTCTGCGGTGCGCATGGAAGGCGCGCCTGCCCCGGGCTTGCAGGTCCGCCGTGAGCGCGGTAACTCCACTCTTCTCAAAGGTCAGGGGCGACCCCAGCGCGTTCATGATGTCTGTCGCCCCGCCTGCTTTTACTTTTTGACCACCGATGCAAAACTCAGTGTCGTCCGGCTCGCTGCAGAGGATTTGTGTTTTGACGACGTTGACCACATTGCCCTTTTTTCCCAACTTCTCCTCGAGGTAGGTGATGGCTCTCTGCATTGCTTTGGCGTTCTCTGACCACAGGTATGTGTCATCCATGTATCCCGCCCCTTGGGAGGGGCATTGTGGAAGGTCTGCTCGCCCCGCCTCGCCCAGTGGCACGTTGTCGTGGAGGTCTTGGAGGGTCTCACCTATCGACGCCGAGTAGAGCACTGCACTGTCCGGACTCCCTTGTCTCACTCCGTTCGTCTGGGTCACGGAGACAAGGGACTTGCCGATGTAGATGTCGATGGCCTTCGCTTCGAGGATTTCTAGCCACATGCGGCTCTCCCACACCAATCCGCCCCGTTTGGCAACGGAGTCTCGGACCATGACAGCGAGAGCATCTTGGGCGATGCTGTCGAAGGCCTTGCGGACGTCCACTTTTACCAGCCAAAGCTTGACGCCCCAGTCCTTTGCCATACGCATCAGGCGGCGTAAGGCAAGGATGAGTTCTTGTGCTTGCCGCCCCGTAGAGCAGTACTGGTAGTAGCAGTGGAGGTCCAGGTAGGGTTGGCATCTGTGTAGCAGGAGCTGAGCCATCCAACGAAGTAGGGTGTTGCTCAGCGTGATCGGTCTCGTCGCCGCCCAGGTGCTGGGGACGTGCTCCTTAGGGAGCAGTATCGTCGCCCCGCGCCCCACTGCCTCAGGGATGTTGGCCTTGTAAAAGCAGTCGTTGATCAGGGACAAGACGTACCAGGCCCACTTCGGCGAAGGAGCACGGAGCATGGCCTTGAAGCTTTCATATGCGACTCCATCGATCCCCGTGCTTTTCCGCGGCTTCCACCTTTCTGCTGTGGTCGTGAGCTCGTCAAGGGTGAAGGGGTGCCAGCGACGTCGCTTGCAGTGTCTGGTGAGCTCGCCCCGAACGTGTCGTATTTTCTCCTCAGGCCCCGGCTTCTGTGCACTTGTTCCCAGTCGGGGTCGTCAAGCAATTTTTCCTCCCACCCGGTTGCCGGGTGCAGCTGCTTCAGCTTCTTGAATGCGTGCCAATCTAGCTGGCTGGCCTCCGCAGCGAGTTTGGACTCATAGTCGCGCTTCTCGGTGCGGCGTTGTTTGTGGACCGCTTTCCAGGCCGCTCTGCGCTCCGGCCCCCCGGAAGCCTTGTCGCGCTCTGTAGGTCGGGTTCTGGAGGCTAAGCGCTTTGGTGACGACGATGTGGTACGGGTCGCCTTGCTTAGGGTCCTGGTCCAGTGCCTTGGCCACGTCCTCAGGGTGGAGCAGCTGTTTGGCACCCCATGTTGGCGCCTGGTCACTCTGCTTGTGTCTTTTGTCCGGCATGTAGACGCTCATCGCGATCGGCTCGTGGTCGCTGAGGGCCATGTCCCTGGCCTGAAGGACTTTGCCAGGCTGTGCATGGGCCCCCCGGAGCAGGATGTAGTCGATTCTCCTCGGCTTGTGCTCGGTGTTGTATGGGAAGTGGCTGGGACTGCTCAGGACTTGGTCGGGAAGGTAGAGGTTCTCTTCCACCATCCATTGTAGTACGGTGTTGCCTTGGCCAGTGGCTGCTACCAGTCGCCCCGATGCCATGGCGAGGGTCTCGTTAGCGTCCATGCCAAGGATAAGACGCTGGTGCTTGAAGGTGGCTGTCTCGCCCCACTCATGGATCATGTTGTCGACCTGTTGCACTGTGGCGTGGTGCGGTATGTGTCCGCTTAGTAGCCCAACTTTGCCTCGTTCCAGCACGAGGGAGGTAGCAACGCCCCCGGGCACGCAACAAGAGCGCTCATGTGCCCCGAGGTCACTTTGATAGGCTATGCCCTCTCCTCGCCACTCATTGGCTTGGCGCCCGTATATGATGTGCCAGTGTTTGGTGACGTGGTACTGAATTCCAGGTTCTGGTGTGACAATCTCTTGGAGAAGCAACACCGAGGTCATGCATAGTTCAGGGTGGTCACGAAGGTCATCGAGTAGACTGGAACATCTTGTAATGTCGAGCCCCCCGACGTTCCACGTGGCCACTGTGAGTTGGCCTCCTTCTTGGCTGCCAAGGTGAAACTCAGGGTCCTGGTCTCAGCGGAGGGTCGCCCCGAGGGGCTGCCATCTGGACTGCAGCTCCGACTCCGATGACCCAAGGAGTCTTGCTGCCTGTGCCATGTGGATCCACGCCCCCATGGTGCCTGCTTTCTCCGCCCCGGGTGGGGCTGTGGTGACTGCGCTGCATAGCCGAACATTCTTGTACCATACCGTGCCGCTGGACCACTCTGTCTCGACTTCCCCTTTGTTCGCCCCGCATTCGAGCAGCAGGCGCTTTGTTTTTGAGGCCACCATAGCTCGGCGCCTCTTCTCTGGGCTTTGTGACAGGTGCAGCCAAAGTCGCTGTGTGGTACCATCGCTCCGCTTGCCTAGCTCGATGTTGGCTTCCAACACTCGTTGTGTCGCTCCGCGTAGCCGATCTCGCAGGGCCTGCTCGGACTCGTTCTCTCTCGGATCGTAGGGGATGATGACGAAGCCCCGGCGAATGCCGCGGCAGAAGGCTGTGTCCACATCGAGGTCCACGCGGAGGTCGGCGATCATCTGTTTGGCAGCTGCCAACGTGACTTCACTGTGCTGGTCTTCGCTCCAGCCACCCATCACCATGGCCGGTTTGCGCTTGTCGGTCTCCTCCGGGGCAGTGGAGCCCCAGCTGGACCCTGCCCCGCTACTGGACCTCATCTCCAATGTTCTGAGTCGCGAAGTCAGGGAGCTGTGTTCTTGCCGTAGTGCTTTGATTGCCCCGCCGTGTTCGTCTTGAGTAGCCGTGAGGTTCTGGAGCATGCGGACGGTGTCCATGAGTTGCGAGGTCACCGTCTTCTCCACCAACTCCACTCGCTGCCCCACTGCCTGTGTGATCTCATTCTTGAGCTCGGCGTTGTTTTGTCGCAGCAGTTCTCTCATCGCCTCGATGGTGGCTGTGCCAGGGTTGGGGTGATCTTCCCCGCTGCGATTACGTTTCGGTGGGGAGCCGATGGGTTCTGGGCCCGCCCCTGCGTCGGTGAAGGGGTCATCCCCGAGGAGGTTTTGGGTCAGGCTCGGGATCTCCGGCGTCTTCGGCATGGCAGAGTTGGCTAGGTCGCCGGGCATCATGTAGTACTTCAGTCACGACAGTCTGTTAGTCCCTCTCCCAGCGTGGGGCTCCCGGCGGGTCGGCTGGGCAACGGAGTGCTCCGCCCAGCAATGTCGGCGCGGTGAATCGGTACGGTCAGCAGCGGGTCCTGTAGGGCCGCCGATGCCGTAGGCGCTGAGGTTTGTCAATCGCCCCGAGCAGGAGCGCACGGTCACCGTACAGGAGTGAAGTCACCGTACTCGCCGGTGGCAGCGCGGAAGGTGTACAGGCGTAGGGCTGCACTCTGGTACTCGAGGTCGCGAGTATGCACGCTGCCCCTGCCCTCACACTCTCACGCCCGGGTTGAGGTCCTCTCTCACACTCTGGCTCGGACCTTGGACCACTCGCGGCTTGAGCCAAAATGGCTACGTCTCTCTCTCTCTCTCTCTCTCTCTCTCTCTCTCTCTCTCTCTCTCTCTCTCTCTCTCTCTCTTCTTCCCCGGGGCATGAGGGGTGTTCGAAGCCCCCCGGCCGCAAGGGCCCCCCCGATGTTTATTGGGGGCTTTGGAGGAGTGTAAGAAGATGGTTGTTTCCCCCTGTTTTGGAGCAACATATTACATTAGGAATGACGGAACAGGGATCAACAATCCATTTGTCTGTGACATGGCAAACACTCTGGGTTGAATCCCCCTGACATACGCCAAGTGTTGTAACATGACATATGAAGAAGTCAGGGTTCTTCACTCCAATCATTCATGTTTCTTGAAATCTAGAGGGATGGCAAAAGAGACATCGCACCGAGTGAATTGGCCTCCCCTCGGGAAAGGGTGCATATCGGCATCGAATTGCAAAAAGGAAAGTCTTGGTTGCTAGGACGGAATGTCTGGTGCCTCAGCAGGCTTTAAACAGTTGGGTTTCAGGCAGTCGCAGGTTGGCAAACAGGCCTGAAGGCTACATGGACGGCAAGGGTTAGCTAATGTTACAAGTCAGTCGGAACTACCATTGACGGAAGCATGCAGTCATCCCCCCGGTGAAAGGACGAGGATTGCTGGCACCGAATTGGTCTTACCCATTGCTGTAAGACAACTAATCAAACCAAGCAAAGCAACAGTGTCACATCGACCCAGTCAGATCCTGAAATGTGTGGCCAACTGGCTGGTTCTCGCCAGCTCCGTGTCAGAACAAGCAACAGTGTCACATCGACCCAATCAGATCCTGAAATGTGTGGCCAACTGGCTGTCGCCAGCTCCGTGTCAGAACAAGCAGCAGTAGCGCAGTGTAGTCTCTGAAGGATGGGCGGGGGGCATCCCAATACACGCTTCAAACCCGTCATCGCGAGCAGGCAGAGAGCGGCAGTCACTCTGATAGATATTCGCCAGGCTAAATCCGCAAAAGGGACTGAAAAGCTCCGAGGTCATCAAGATCTGCGTGTTGCCACCTTCCAGATTTCCCAATATGGCTGCTCTGACGTTTGTAGTTCCGATCACACGGGGCTCGAATCTCAGGGAACACCAGAACCGTTTGCTCTTCTCGATGACGTGCAAGATCTTGTTCTGCTGCAGGGTACAACGCGAGATGTTGAAAGGCAGGCCCGCCGAGTTCAGTGCTATGGCTCAGATGCCTACGCACTGCCTTTAGATACTCTGTGGAGCGGTAGGGGATCCGGAGCTTGGGGCACAGTCAAGCCCCTTCCCCCCTACACGGCCCCTTGAGCTCTCGTGGACGCGGTCCAGGAAGTCCACGATGTAGGCACCTTGAGCCGCAATAGCTACTCTCTCTCTCTCTCTCTCTCTCTCTCTCTCTCTCTCTCTCTCTCTTTCTTTCGCCAGGCTGGGAGGCGAACCCCCGCCCTTGGGGGCCGCCCGATGTTGGCGGTACGCACGGTATTACGTGCGATAGGCTAACGTTACGACACCCCGGCTGTCGTAAACTGAGTACAACACTGAAACTGAGCAGTAGAGGATGTAAGTACTGTGCTCGGGTGTGTTCGTAGCTGGCGAGTCGCCCGGGGCAGTTATTCTGCTTCTGCAATGCCTCCCCGAATTATGAGCAAGATCCTGATGCCGTAAGCTTACACTAACAGTTCTCTCTCAGGGGGTTGCACTGCAATGGGCTCTCTCTCTCTTGCTTGCACTCGGCCAAAGGGAAGCCTAAGCCCCCCTCGCGCGCGTGCGCGCACCGGGTCTTCAGTCTTTCGTGAAACCCCCACGGAAGGAGCAACTGCGCCGGCCGGCACTGGCAAACCCAACCCGTAACACTACCTATGGTACCCCCGGCCTCGCGCCTTCGCCCCACATCGTGGGCCGTCTTTTTTGACGGCTGGATCCGTTTGGCCACTTGCAGAACTACGATCCGTCATGAAAAGTTGCCCCCCTTTCGACGCAACAAACAACTCACTCTGCAGAAAGGTGTCTGAGGCACCGGCCAGACTGCAACACAAACTCTGCACAACAACACTCTCTCTCTCTCTCTCTCTCTCTCTCTCTCTCTCTCTCTCTCTCTCTCTCTCTCTCTCTCTCTCTCTCTCTCTCTCTCTCTCTCTCTCTCTCGCTGCCGTGCCATCGTCAAGAGTCTCGCAATGCAAGGGCACGAAATCGCAGGCTAGAATATCAGGAGGGTTGTTGTTTGTCCAGAAACTCGGATGTAAGGAAGTGAATGCTTCGTATGATGTCCGACTGGGGACCGGAGTTAAAGAGGCCGGCCAAATCGTGATTGAGAAAACGAAGGTGGCGTTCTGGATGTAGCTATCCTTCTTCCTCTTCATCATGATGTAGCCATACGGAGTGGGCTTGTCGTACAGGAGCAGCTTTTTGTAGTGCTTGGTAACTTCAGGGGGCATGTTGACTTTCATGTCTTCCTTGCATGATGTCCTGAGGGCTTTTGTTTTGCATGCGGAAGATTTTCTTGTCCACTCATGTATCATAAGCCGCCTGGTTGTAGACGTTGGGGCAATAGAACATGAGGTGCGCGTTCGCGTGGTCCTCGTTATGCATGATGTAATCGTCCGGGATGAGGGCCCTGATGTGCTTCACGAGTCTGTGTGTAAATCTTGGCTCTTGTTCGAGATGCTGTCGGTGGATCTGCCATTCTTTCTGGAAGAACTCCTCGAACTCGTCCAGGATCCGTTGGTCTACTGGAAACCGGTGGTGTTTGAGCCACTCCCGGATGTGGTCCACGTGTTGTTGTTGTAGAACGCATTGCCAGCTGCGACTTGGGCAAATTGAGGGTCTCCAGTCCTGTGACGACGTGTCCTTGAAGTTGCGGAGCTCGCGGATGCTTTTTGGCAACTTGTTGACACTGGCATTCTTGGCGCTTCCGGCTTCGTCCAAGGTGTGTGACTTTGCGTTTGTGGTTCCCAAAGTACCTCGTTGAGTGACGGATGCGGCATCCCCTGGACAGTTTTTGTCGGCAGGTGGTAGGGAATGAGATTCGCGAGGAATTTCTGCAGGTTGGTCTGAAAAGGTGAGTGGGCAAGGAAGGGGAGTTTGAGGGGCTTGTGAACTTCGGAACCGAGGCGTTTCTAAACTGAAGCACTAATCGAAGTCGGGCTCGGACTTTTGAGCGCCAGGACTGCTCCATGTGGTTCGCGGTACAGCAGCGTGACGGTCTCGTTGTCACGCTTCCCACTCCGTAGTTCACGTGATGCATCGTACTCTTGCTTGGTGTCGCTGGAGATGATGGCATAGAGCAGCTTCCAGAATTGGGCTTGTTTGGGAAGCACGTTCAGGAGCTGCTTCTTTTGACATTGAAGGCGACGTCGAATTTTCTTAAAGGCTGCGTGTGGCGAGGGTATCAGGGGGGCGTTGTGCATGCGGCTGTTGTCGTTTGGGAACCAGACCATGAGCTTTCTTCA